TTAGCTCAGGTCCCATCCTCCTTGCAACATATTATCATTATCTAAGTCCTAAAAGCACTGCCAGTTATACATTCAGCCTGAGTCTTAACTCATCTGAGTTTGTCAGTATATAATGCTATTAAATCACTGCTCACATTGTTTAACAATAAAATCACTGCTCACATTGTTTAACAATTAACTATTGACTTGTTCAGGTCATGTAATAAACTTTAAACTTACTGTGTTTATTGCTTGGGACACAAATGGCATTCAATACAACTGTTATGACATTAGTGAATATGAAACTGTAGTTAAGAAATATTTATAGAATACTGAAAACTTTAGGACTATCTGCAAGACTGAGAAAGTCTTGAAAGCCGGAAGAAGTGTTATAACACCAAATTGGAAACTGAGAAAAGCCAAATTTAACTAACAAAATTAAGTCCAAGTTCTAAAAATTAAGTTTCAGGACAGGACATTTCCACTTTACCTCCAAGACAGCAGAAAAACTAAAAGACAAAAAAGATTTTATCTTTGGCAACTGTTAAATTACTTAATCAGAATTGTATTATTTTTAAATAGTAATCGAGGGCTAAATATTTCAACATTAGAAGTCTTTACAGTGATATAAACAGAAGGCAGAAGTGCCAAAATAATTCATAAAAGTTTATTTCACAAAGGGCTAATTATATTATACCCCCTTTTAAGGTCTCTTATAACGGTTTAGCTGTAAGCAATATGTTCATTCTTTTTTACAGCATATAATACTTTTCACAATCAGTTCAGATTTCTTTTTTTCCAAATTATTAAAGAGGTACATACACTTTGGTTACATACCAGAATTGGCTTTTGTATTGTTAACAGTCTACAGTTTTGATCTTTAGAGAAGTTGGAATGAGATACACAGTGTGAAATCTAATTAGTTTTCTTTTAAATGTTGATAATGGGAACTGTACACTCTCTTAAGAAGCACATATATTACCAACATCTCAAAAGTTTAAGGTCCTTGATATTCAGTGTATGCTTTTATGTGTTTAAATGTTGCTCTGCTAAATTGAAGATGCTTTATTAAAAATTTAAGAACCCAGGGAAAACACCAAAGTCAGAATGAACATTAGTTTATCTTAAAATAATACGATTACTCAGACTTCTGCATGTTCCTTTCAATCTGAACTGCTTCATGAGCACTTTTCTGAATGCTGCATATCAAGTTCAAGCATACCACAGGTTACCTGTAATTTAGAAATTTTTCAGAATTTAAGTCAGTTTTGAGAGGAAGGTAGAAAAATATAAAATTTTAACTACTATACCAACAGAAAATATTTCAAAAAAGATCTACAGGGCACAATTTCAATGCAGTGTAAGAAACAAACACTTCAGAAGACAAAGTAGGCAGTTAAAAAGGGGGGAACAAGGACAACAGATGATATATGTCCATAGTTTAGTGTATGAAAAATTTAGCCTTAAGTTATGTCTGATGCATAACACACAAAACGTGAAATAAAAGTCTACCAATAAGCAAAAAATAACCAACTTAATATCTGTAGTACTCATTTCTCAAGCATCATATAAAAGTACTGAAAATGTACCATTCTACTGTTAACTTACAATTTCTATCTAATTCATCTATTAAAATACCTACCAATTAGCTACTATTCTTATTAGGACATGTCAGTGTCCATTTTATATCTAAATTACCTTAATTCGTATTTTATAAAACAAGTTCAAGAAATCTTCCAAGTCCAAACTATAAACCTAAAACTCACTAAAAGATATGAAAGCTAAATTTTTTTTTATTGTTTTTGGTTTTATCCTAAGCATAAATTTTATGCTTTTTCATACATGAAGGACACATGAATGATATGAATTTAGAAATTGAATTCTAAACATTTATTCTTTCACTTAATTTTCAGACTTCAAAAATACATTTTTGTATCTACACAGTTTTAGTACATCTTTATTCAAAAGCAGATTATTTTATACTTAAATATCTTCTTAAATTCTAAAATTTAAATTGTTTAGAGAACACAGGTCTTCTGGAAATATTAAATTATGCAGTAAATATTGATAATCAATATTTTCAAAAGAAATGACTGTAACTTAACCTGTATAATAAAGAATTCTAATTTCATTCACCCTTCTCCCACAATCCACATGGATAAGCCAAGGTAAAATATACTAGCAGCTATCAAAAAGCTGTCTTTGGGAGTATTCCATATAAAATTCCATTTTATGTCTCTCTGATGTGGGGGGGAAACTGTTCTGCCCTAATCCCAGGTAACAAAAGAAACAGTAATATTTTAAAAGCATAATTCCAGCAAGCTTTAACAAAAGAATTTATAAATTTTGTGTTCCTATTGAAACATGAAATGTTTCAAATTTCTGACTGGCTTATACTTCACAAGTTGATGCATGATCCTTATTTGCAACAATGACCAAAACAGCTCTGATCAACTTTCTGAATATGGTAGTATTCAGTAGTTTAAAAGCTAAAAACAAACGGAGCTGCAAGTTAATAATGTTTACCTTAACATCACTCTTTAATCCATAACAATTTAGAACATGAGAAAAAGTTTAAAATATGAAAATTACCTTAATAATGAAAGATCGGAAAACACATGCCAACTTAAAATAAACGTAGTTGTTTCCTCAAAAATGAACAGGCACCAGGGGAAAATGTACCCTAGAGACAGGCTATACAAATAACTTCAAATCAAGATTTCAAAAACACAGTTTTATATGTTAGCTTTATATGACATTTAACCCAACTAAAAGTTACAAACTTTAGACAAAGCCTTTGTTTTTGCCTGTGATCTATTTTTCAAATGCATATTCAAAACTACATGAAAATTGTACAGGGTACTTTGTGTCCAAATAAGGATAAAAGGTGTATAATATTCCATCTAAGTTCCATATGTAGAGAATGGTCATTTACATATTTTATTTCTAAAAATTCTTGTCACTGTCACAGAAAAAAGTCAACATTTGATAAATTCAGACCATAAATATAAGCTTACTAAATGCTACAAATTGTATACAATAGCTAAGTTTCTTCAAATACATAGTAACAAATAGTTCCAGGGGCAGGACAAGAGATGAGGGTAGAGATTAGAACACTAATAAACTGAGGTCTTTAAAACTACTTTGAATGTTGATGTTACAACTTAGATTCAAAACACTTGGTTACTCAAGCCTAAACTAGGATTTTGAAAAACCTAACGAAAAATAACTTCCTCAAGCAGTAATCTCTCCCAGCAGATACAAGACGCTCCTGACATCTACGTATACAAAACTACACAGGTGTAAACCTAGAGACTGTTAGTTATCAAGCTGGAAGCAAATACACTGTACGGTACAGTCCCCATCTGCAACCTAATTTTGCTTCAGCATCCCCAGAGACTTCGAAAATGTTTCTTTGGGTAGGTTGCAAAACGGTGCTTCCTCTTTTATTCTCATCACCCTCATTATGATACAAAGCAACAGATAGACAATAAAATCAAATCGCCAACTCTAAGGGCCGAAAGCTTAAACACACACACACACACACACACGCACACAAAGCACCTTCTCTGCAACTCCCAAATCGGTATTCATTCCACCTGTTTGTAAATCCATACTTCCACAATAACTCAAACCCTTTGTTGATGAAAGAAAGGAAAGGAAAGAAGGGGGGGAGCAAATTACTGCTCCGGAGTCCTCATTCTTCCACCTAGGCATGGGGGGAGGGGGACGGTACAAAACAATGGATGCTGAGGGGCTGGAGAAAAAATCGTTTTGCCCCGAAGCCTCTTGCGTTAGGAGCTCGGCAGGGGACACCGGGAGAGTTAGAATACTTTTCCTCTATCCCTCAAAGGTACGCTATCACTGAGAGACGTTGCCATTAGACTTGTCCAACAAGGCGGTCTTGGATGGCTACAACTCGCTTTACCAGGCAACACACCCAAAGCCGTTTCACCACTCCTCACCGAAGGTGTTTAGGGAGAGGAGCACGGGAGAGCGCGGTGGGCTTTGGGGACGGCGCGAGAAGACTGCCCCTGTATCAACACCTCTGCGACTGGGCCCTCGCCAACGATTTACTCGACCTCGGGCGCCCGACAGCCTGGGCCCGCTGCCCCTGGGAGCCAGGCAGGACACGACGGTCCGCCGGGCACCCCCAGCCCGCGCCCTCGCGCCGGCTCGCCCTCGCCCAAGCGCCGTCCCGGCAGCCGCCGCAGGCCCAACCCGGCCGCTGTCAGGGCTGGCCGACCGCCTCGCGGCGCCCGGTTACGGGTTCCCACGCGAGCCGGCTCCGAAGGCCCAGCACTCCCGGCGACAGCACCCAGGAAAGCAGCGGCCGCGGCGCCTCCCAGGGCCCCGGCCCGAGGGCCTCGCCCCGGCCCCGCCGGTTCGCGCCTGTCAGGGAGCGCGGGGCCTCCCCCTACCGACAGCCAGCTCGACTGCCCCACAGACAGGAAGGAAGGCAGGAAGAACCGACCAACATCCACCCTCCGCCTCATCGGCCCCTGGTTACCGTCAAGAACCCCGACTCCGCCATCCTCCTAGCTCGCCCTCCTTCCTCCTCCTCCTAAGAAGCGACGCGGCCTAACCGCCGCCCCCCGCCCACCCCTCCCCCACTGGCCCCGCCCCGCCCCGCCCGCTCCTCCACACACTCTCGATCCGACGCCCCGCCCCACCCCTCTGGCAAGGGCCGGTCACTCGCCCGGGAAGGAAAAATAGGCGGAGACCGAGCAAACGAAGCTGCCCAATCACGGCGAGTCATTGGCGCCAGCTTCCCTCTCCCCGCCCTTTTCCTTTCCTCCCCGCTCCTTTACGCCGTCTCCCGCCCACTGGGTGCCGCTGGCTAGCCGGCTCACAGAGTAAGCTTCCGGCAGGGTAGAGTGACAACTTCCAACCGGAAGTTACTGTTGAAGCTACGGCTGCCATAACTGAAAATGGCATGAAGTTTCCTGGCTTCCTGTTTCCAGAGTGACGTAGTTTTTTCCTTCGTCCAAAAAAAAAAAAAAAAAAAACCTCACTGTTACCCCGGGCAACGTCTCAAGAGGGATGCATCTGTAAGTAGGCCCAAAGAGGACCACAGGTGACCATACACTTCATGTTTAATTAGAAAAGTTAATTCATACTCAAGACTACTGGCCCGGTTTCCAGACCCTTATTTTGCTAAGACGTCTGGTCACTTACCTAGGAAGACAACAGTTTAGGGCTCCGAAAATCTGTCTCCTGACCGGAAGTTGCATTTTCCACTTCCGAATTGGATTAAGGCGGATGGGTGGAAATAACCTCCGCCGCCCTCGCCCCAGGGGGTGCCCATGCTTGACCTGAGTTGCAAAGTGAGGTGAGTGTGCCTGGGCCCCTAGCTGTGGGACGGGCCCGGGCCGGATGGTCCCCGGGGGACGGAGCGCTGAAGCGAGGTGGGCTCAGGGCTGCTTCCGCTGGAAGAAGGTTTTCTTTCCGGGCTGGCCAGGTGGCGGCCCGCCCCTCTGAGGTTCCCGGTGGGGCGAGGCCTCCCGAGCCCCTCAGAGCCAGCCGGGTGGGCCCTAACGGGGAATGGGCGCGGATCTCGGGGCGGAGTCCACAGCTCCAGCAAAATGGAGCTCTTGACCACGCCTCCGCAAGTTCCTATTAAGTATTTAACTCCCTGGCCTTGGAGGATGGAGGATTAGGGAGCTTGGGGAAGTAATTTCCCACTCTCAGCTATTGAAGAAAAAGATGATCCCTTATCACCTCTAAGTCTTATTAACCCTACGCTTGTCTTCTTATTCTGTTTTTTACCCCTTTCCTTTTATCTCCTTTCTTGAGTCTTTACAAGCTTTGAGTGCAGTTCTGTTTGGGGATAGGATATCCTGATCCTCCATGTCTCCGGTGATTAAATATTTGTAAAAATACCGTATTACTTTTATATGGCTCTTTTTAAGGTTATCACTTTATTATCTCGTAGTTCTTCCCATAGGCTTCAGTCAAAAACTCTTAGTCATCTTGGTAATATTGGATTGGATGCCTAAGCTTCAGGAAAAAGACGAAAATTACAGGTAAATTAAAAATTGTTTATACCCAACCAGCCAACAATGAGGGTGTAAACCTACCTTCTTCTTCTTTTTTTTTTTTTTTTAGCAGTCTTTGGCCTGGGCTGGGTTTGAACCCACCGTCTCTGGCATATGGGGCGGCGCCCTACTCCTTTGACCCAAGGCGACACCCCTTAATTTCTTTCCAATATGAACTACTCTGTTTTTCTTCAGGAGTGATTGTGGTTCTGTATCCAAGATGTTGCTACGCTTGGAGCTGTGTTTCTAGATTCTCTCCCATTTGAAAGTCATTTCCTATGAATTTAGCACTTTTTTTTACCTCTTTTATGACAGCGACTAGTTTATATGACAACTGCTGTCTTTTTAGCTGTACTATCATAGTTATTGACACCTAAATAGAACAGTTTGTATGAGATTCAACTATTTCACTCTTTACATGATGATATTTTGGTAAATACTTACTGAAAGATTGAATATACTGGATGTCCCTTGAATGCCCAAGACACTGCCAGACAAGTGTTATGGACTTGTCTTGTATGCAAAAATTCAGCATAGTCCCTGCTACTCAACCTTTTCTTAGGTTATCCCTCTGAAGTCTTTCCAATGTGATATTTTCCCCAAAATATTATAAAATTGCTCATACATTAAAAAGCTGAAAGAATATAATTAACATTCATATACCCTTCACTTGTATCCAACAGTTGTTAACGTTTTGCCATATTTATTTCATCCTTCCTCACATACTTTTTCATTGACATTGAATCATTTGGGAAAAAGTTGCAGATACCTATTATTAGTCAGACACCCCTAAGATTTCTTATATGAATTTTCCTGAGAATTCTGAAGTTCTCCTGAAAATGCAATATTGTTAGAGCCAAGGAAATTAGTACTTCTGTTAATACTTAAAATCTAGTCCATGTACAAATTTTCCTTACTGACCCAAGAATATCTTTTATAACTTCTCCTTACCCCTCCCCCCAAATCAGGATTCAGTCAAGGTTTATGTATTGTAACTTTTTAGCCTCAATCTGGAACATTTCCCCCATCTTCTTTTTACCCCTGTGATTTTGGCATTTTGAAGAGTTCAAGCTACAAGTCTTTTTGGAAAATGGGGCTTTCTTTTTTGTTGTATATTATAAACAAGAAGTTATTTAGAACCTTAATCAGATTAAGTTAAACATTTTATTGCAGGATTATGTCATAGCATCCATACTTTTGCATTCATGACTAAGACTTCTCAATTACAACTACATGTGCTTTTGCAGTGAGTTGCTAGTTAAATCCATCCCACTTCTCAGGATGCTCACCCTTCTGTGGGGTCCTACAAAGAAGAGTTTAGCATTTAATCCTCTCACGTGTATAGTATGTGTTAGTGCCCTGGGCTGGCAGCATAGACTGCCTACCTTTAATAAAGTGTTGCTGCACTGCCTATTCATAGAGCTGATGCAATGTAATCTGCAGCAAAGTGTACTGATGTCATCATAGTTTCATGAGTTTCAACTCCTGGCACTTTACTGACTGTTGTTGAAAGATGTGTGGGCCCTGCAATTCAAATACAGATGAATCTTGATATTATCAAAGCAGATACCTAGGCAACTATTTGCCATTTGGCTGAATTCCAATTTAGGCAATGTTATTTTTCTCCCAGAAATTCTCTTACAAGTCCTAATTGGTCCTGGTGTTTTTATGATAGCTTTCTGGCATTAAGCAGAGCCTATTAAAAATTGCAAAACCAAGAAGATGCTTAACACTTAATACATTAGGAACGTGGGTAAAGAAGTGTGTGTAGAATTTACTTTATGATCACAAGAGGAAAACTCTCAAGGGTACCAACCTCATGTGTTCCTCCTAGCCTATATTATCAACCTCACAGTTGGTCCCCAAGTTAATAGAAATTGGCACAAGATTGAAAAAGGAATTTATACATGCAAGGCTTTCTGGGCATGGGGTAGGATGGGGTGGGGTAAGGAGATGAGCATTTGCTTGAACAAAATGGGGACAGTGCCAGTTAAAGAACAAACAGACAGGCTCTTTAGACAAAGGGGCAGGGAACTTTTAAAGGGTAAAAAGAGAAAGTTTGACACTAATTGAAGTCATAGCATGTAGAGGCAGAGATTTGTTGGCAGCTGCCCATCGGGCAGTCATGCTTCTTCATATATTGCATGTCTTATTAGCATGTTAAATCTCCATGGTTGGACATGATTTTTAGCATAAAAATGAGGTAAAAGGTCTGCAAGCTATCAACTTTGGACTTCATCTTGGCAGTGACCAGTTTATGCTAGCTGGCTTTGACTGGGTCCCGTAGAGACTCCTGCTCTGATAGCTGCCATGTCCAGCTAAAGAAAGCAGAACTACCTTCTATTGAAACTGGGTGTTAATCATTTTCAAAGCTTTAATTCAGCTTTGTAAGCAGACTTAAACTTGGCTTAAGGCTCAGGCAGGTGGCCAAAGTCTACCTTCTATACTACCTCACTTTGACTTAATATTTGATCATGAAAGATAAGTGAAAGGAAGAAAATGCACTTAAGGAGGAGGAGAAAATGCTCTGGGAGGGCAGAATCTCTTAGATTGGTATAGAATGTTTTTAGCCATCACAGTGAAACTCAAGTAATGTATTGTATCAGTCACTTTCTTTGTGTACAAAGAAATTTGCTGATGTGGGACTATGAAACAATTTTAAGTTGACTCCTAATTCAAGTAAGGCAAAATAATATTCCAATTAAGACCACAAGTTTGGGACTGTAAACTAATACAACTTTTTTGGAAGGAAGTATGGAGAAACCTCAAAGAACTCAACCTAAACCTCCCATTTGATCCTGCAATCCCATTACTGGGCATCTATCCAGAAGGAAAAAAAAAACCTTTATTACAAAGATACTTGTACTAGGCTGTTTATTGTAGCCCAATTTACGATCACTAAAATGTGGAAACCGTCTAAATGCCCTTCAACCCAGGAATGGTTTAGCAAGCTGTGGTCTATGTATACCATGGAATTATTATTCAGCCATTAAAAAAATGGAGATTTTGCAGCATTTGTACTAACCTGGATGGAGGTGGAACACATTATCCTTAGTGAAGCATCACAGGAATGGAGAAGTACGAATGCTATGTATTCAAGTTTGATATGAGGACAATTAATGACAACGGCACAATAGGGCATGAGGGAAGGGGCGAGCAGACAGAGGAGGACGGAGGGGGTGAGAGTAAGAACAAGAAAAAAATAGTGACTAATTCTCACATAAATTGGATTCGATTTTGACTAAAGTACATTACTTAAACATTGATTTTTACTTTGACTTGTTAATATGTTGTTCAGGATACAGGATACTGCATCCTCATTTAAAAGTGTATTATAATTTCCCCTTTATAATACATTTTTTCCAATTTTAATATCAGGTGTATCCAGATTAGGCAGAATGATTTTGAAGTATTTCTTCTTTTTCTATTGTCTATAAGATTTGGCATGATCTGTTTTTTGAAATTATCTTTTATTTATAAATATTAGTTGTCTATTTTTTGAGACTTTGGGAAAAAACAAAATAAGAAGAAGTTAATTGATGACTCCGTACTACTGCACCTCAGAGTCAAAGCATTCTGTACTAGACATACTCTTATTTGACAATGCGAATGTTACTTTATTTGCATTACTGTTATTATTATTGCTTAATTCTTTGTTGCAGCAATCATCTGATTTCTTTTCTGAATGTATTTATCTTTATTCTTTCTCTAGGAGGTTTTTGTTTCTAGTCCTTATCTTAAACATTGTTATTGTTGTTAAATTTTAAGCCTTTTTAATTTTGTGAAGGTAAAAAGTAGAAACCTAATAAACACATGTATATGTAAAAATAAAAAAATTAAAAAGACCACAGGTTTTAGAATGAGACCTGGGTTTCAGGAACAGGACCACTCACTAACTGGCTGACCTTGGACAATCTACTCATTCTCTTTATTTTCTATTAAAGGAGTCTTAAAACGCCTCAGGATTTTTGAACAGAATTCAAATATATGCAAAGTGCTTTTTTCATTTTATTTTTAAGACAGTATTTCTCTCTGTCTCCCGGGCTAGAGTGTAGTAGCTCATCATAATTCAGGGCAACCTCAAACTCCTGGGCTCAAGTGATCCTCCTGCCTCAGCAGCTAGGATTACAGACATGAACCACCAAGCCTGACTAATTTTTCTGTTCTTTTGTAGAGACTAGATCTTTTTTGCTCTCGCTTAGGCTGATCTCAAACCCCTGAGCTGAAGTAGTCCTCCCACTCAGCTTACCAAAGTGCTAGGATTACAGGCCTGAGCCATCATGACCAGACTAAAGTGCATTTGCTCGGTGTATTGCACATGGAATGTAGTTGGTGTATTATAGTTATTATTAGTGACTTCTAAAGCAGTTCTATTTGGGCACATAGTTGGCATTAAGTATTTAGTGAGTGATAGCAAGGCATGTTGGTGCACACCTATAGTCCCAGCAACTCAGGAGGATGAGGCAGGAGGATTGCTTGAGTCCAGGACTTTGAGATTGCCGTGAGCTATTACAATGCCACTGCACTCCAGAGCAGGTAGCAGAGCAAGACCTTATCTCAGAAAATAAAAAAATATTTACTAAGTGAATGAATGAATGTAAGACAGTAGTTTTCCAAGTTTAATGTGGAAACTCAAAAGTCAGATATTCTGATTTAGTGATTCTGATTTCTGGAGCACTCTGTATCCTTTTTTTTTTTTTTT